CCTAATAATCCAGCGGAGTATTTGTGTCTGTTTTTCATTTCCTAGTGTGTATCCTAAAGCTATTCTTCTCGCGCTACAGCAGGGTTGACTTTTGAAAAGATGAATTATTTATACACGATATTTTAGAGAGACGTGCAGTATATGAATTATGGCTTATCAATTTAATGCAGTCTGGGGAATACTGTTATTACATTTTCTCTCGTAAAAACCGCTCACTCTCAGAAACGAGCTATTTTTATTTTATCTCGTCTCTGTCGATATAATTTCACACATGTATTCATTCACGCACGACCGAATTAAAAAAATTGCAAAATATCTTCATAATAATGTTCAGGAAAGTTACTTGGTCGGTTTCCAGCCGAGTAATAAAGGGATATCAGGGCATAATATATTGAAATTAATAGCGATGCAATATGTGTATAAAACATTGACAGTTTCAAATATTCGTTTATTGTGTGTTTTTGTGAACTAAGATCATTCTTCTGTTTGTTTCATTAACTGTGCATGTGTGTATGCGTTTTTTTTATTTGTACGTACTAGTAATTAAACGCGCATGCGTGTTGGTGGCGCTAGCTTGTCTATCAAGCGAAAAAGAACTGAAGTATGGTAAGTAACTGCCACTAAATACACGGTAGGGTAAATACTATGTTAATAAACACTACGCGAACGAAACAAAGTCCTTAGTAATATGTTCTTCGCCCTGAAATTGGCATTTCTTAAACGCGCCGGATTATTCAAAATAATCAGACACGAGGGACTGTCGAAATTATATTAGGTCATGATGATTGTAAACTGGGCTATGCGTCGTTTAATTATCGTCAGTCGTCTTTCACGGCGGTTTACAAATAGCACGCCAACTGACTTTTCATGATAACTACATCTACATCGACATCTAACCCTGGAACTCATTAATAAACAATGATAGAACGTGTCCAGGTCTGACAGGAAACTGATAGAAATGACATGAATTTCCAAACATCCAACACCGAGAATCATCGGAATTTTCAAACAGTATCATGAACAAACGAGATGTAAAAACGTTCCAGTTATATGCCTCGTTTAATAACGGTCTGGTCTGCTCACAATAAACTCACTGTAAAATACCGCGTCGTCCCAGAAGGTATTTGTGGTAATACATATATGCACGCAGTGCATGTCGGGAATGATTTATAATAAATATATTGGCAGCAACGTAAATCATCTGTATTCAGTGTCGTGTCATCCTTGCTGCATGAATTACCAGATTTTCATTAAATTATTACAAATTAGATCTTTGTTTTTATTTTCAAATATACGGCCATTGTCACTGCCATGGTAAGCTACGCGGAGACATTTTATCTGAAGAGACAGTTTTGATTAATATTTATAACATTGTCTTATCCCTTAGTACATGAAGCGTGTATTCTTGATACGTTTAATGTATTTGCATCAATTAGATGACTTTTATTTCGAAAAAAGATTCGATGGATATATTTGCATTCTACATTAAAATATATTCATAATTTCGTTTTTATGTCTGCATATATATTATGGGCTCAAGACAGGACAGCCATATTTGAACACTACATTATTATGAACTCAAGACGGGACAGCCATACTTGAACACTACATTATTATGAACTCAAGACGGAACAGCCATACTTGAACACTACATTATTATGAACTCAAGACGGGACAGCCATACTTGAACACTACATTATTATGAACTCAAGACGGACAGCCATACTTGAACACTACATTATTATGAACTCAAGACGGAACAGTCATACTTGAACACTACATTATTATGAACTCAATATAGAACAGTCATACACGAATGCATACACACTTACTCGAAGGTCATGATATTTAAATTATTAAGAAATTAAATTCTACAAAGCGATAAATGTCTAAATACCATAATAAAATTGAGCAACCGCTTTATCAAATATTAATTATCGGTTTGTATATTTGTCGTTGAAAGAACGTGGATACTTGTATATACGTTGATTAGGATTTGATATTATCTCCCATCATACCATAGTTTCCTATCTAACAAGATATTGTGATATTTGGTGTGGTTTGTAGATCATGTGAGACGTTACCTGGCGTATGTTATTGTCGAATTTTGATTTGTGACACTTTGGTGTGTGAGGAGGCATGCAGCGTAAATCTAAGCGTACACGCTCCGCCAAACTTATATAATTCCGAGATTTTTAAAATACTAGTATTTGACGGTTTTGGGGTAACACTAAAGGAGATAATATGATAAATCTACAACTTAAACCTATAAACGTGATACCAATAGATAAACAAATTGAAACCGATAATATATAACAGAATATATTAAGCCGATGAAAAATGTCGAAAACATATTTAATTACAAAATATATATTTAATTACGGCTATATTCATAGTGACAAATGACGGCATGGCATTTAAACTATTGTCAGTAGATATTGTTTTTCTCAATTCACTTAAACGAGCTTCTTAACAATCCCCGCAAGCCTAGAGGGTACCACCTGTCACAAATGTTTAAATGAAATTCATCGAGAGCGCAATGGTTGTTGTCACGCTATAATAGGGCGTTTCAAGCTACCACGGGACGTCGTAGGCTTCAGTCTACTGGATTATGTCGTGTTTTGATGCACAGTAACCACAAGTATATTATATACTAAACGTGGTTCAGCGTACCGGTTATTTAACATTCACAACACTGCATATGCAGTAGGATATTACGTTATACGTGTTGGGATTCAGAGCGCAGCGGACAACCATGAAATATACGATATTTAACCTGTTTCTGAGCGCTTTGGTCTGCCTCGTAACCAGCGAATCGGACGTATCAACCCCGGGTAAGTAAATGCATTATAATCTGTGAACCCAGCCCCTAGCTTGAAATTAAATATCTCATTTAAACGGCGAATGAAGCCAATATAGGAACGCGTTATTTTCACATATATAATACCCACTCATTTCCATTGTTAATTATTTTTTACTTTGTACCATATTTCGCTTTCCCGAATCACAAACAATGCACGAAATAGAATTATTATACGAGGTTTCATTTTATCGCACGCGATTTTGAACGATTCTGTGTCTTAACAATTAATGCACGTTACGCTGAATCCATACATCATTAATGGAACAGTCATAGCATGAAATTTAGTCTCATTGTGGAATTAAATCGATTTCTATACGATCACTGGAACCCCCCATAGCGCAACCTCTGCTAACACCGATGATCCACATACGGCATTGGCCCCGAAGGTAGTAGCAGTGTGCTAGCTTACTCATTGGCTGGGATCTTTTCCTGCGCGTGTGTTCAGTAGCCAATCAAAAGACGTCATTATCGATTAATAAAAGGTAACTTCGACCAGTTGTGTATTTTGCGTGCTATTTTAAACAAAACAAATGTAACCGTGAAGGTTGTGTGCGACTGCTGTCGCTGATATTGACAGCATATTCCCTTTCACAGACCCCCATGGGATTACGTCGTTCAGCAGTTGAATCGACAAGCAGGCTCGCTCGCTTTTAACATGTTAACGTTACATCCGGGTCTCAACTTGAACTACTTACGAGTATATATATTCCCGATCGCTTTGACCTCGTCCCACGAGTCTTTTCAATCACTCGCTTATAAAGCAAAAGGAAGCGCGTTTAGGAATCTTAACACGGGTTTGGCAAATCTTCCATGAACCCAAAAATGTTAAATATCAAAGTGTATATCATTGAACTGAGGGCGATACACAAATAATAATCTTTATTAAATTCGTACCCTAATTGGACGTCGTTTATATTACAATAATTTAATAAAGTTACTCAGAATGCGTGCAAGGATTTACGTAGGGGTGCGGGTTATGATGAAGATTGACACTTTGATAAATTTGCATAATACATGGATGATTCGAATAACTAATGCGACCAGAGACTAAGTTGCTCGTATTTCAGAACGAGGCATTATTTAAATGAGTTACAAATAAAATATGCGCACCGTGAGGATATAATTGGCATATATAATTCAATACGCTCGCGTACGTGAACAACTAATGAATTAATGTGTGGAGTGACCCCAATAACATCATATTTACGTACATACCGCCTTTTGTAAGAAGACTCGTCGAACAAACGAAAGTGGGATAATCACGTTTCAGATGTCTAATATTGTCACTATGCACGTTCGTCAATGTTTCGCAAGTAGGCAATAGCGGTCACACCTAAAAGCTCTTCTGCATGTGTCATAAAAACGTGTTCAACGCACACAGAACTCAGATATATTGACTTATTAACGTTGACATTTTAACTGTCCATCACCTACAGTCATCCATAATTGTCTACTTCTAATGGTGCGCGAACTATGATGACGTCATCATTTATTTATGCACGGCTATTACCTATTATCAGCGTTGAGCTTGTTTAATTATTCATATTTTCGCGGAATATTCACAGTGTAAACTTTAGATAACATAAATCGAGCTGTTATTAGAGCTGTAATGCGAATGGCACATATTGTTGGCCCTAATGCTGACATAACACTTATTAATGAGAAGTCAGACTCAACGTCAGGACAACTTGGAACCCATTTAATAAATTCAACGGTATAATTAAGGAGAGACTTAAAAATACGCCGATGTACGTGTCATCACACTAGGGAACACTAAAGGAAAAGCTTTGCATTCCCTGCACATCGCACGAACATTCACTCTGTCACGTGACAGATCGATGTAAAGCCAGTGCATGGAATGTTTGAATACGGCGAAACTCAGTGTATGCTCTATATTGATGAAAAACATATACATTCTTTTCCCAGCATATGGCACGAATATAGGACACAAACCAATATATTGTGATGGAAATATCAAACAAACAAACCAGCATATTGTAATGGAAATGTCAAACAATCGTACAAACATATTGTAATGGAAATATCAAACAAACAAACCAATATATTGTGATGAAAATATCAAACAAACAAACCAATATATTGTGATGGAAATACTAAACAAACAAACCAATATATTGTGATGGAAATATCAAACAAACAAACCAATATATTGTGATGGAAATATCAAACAAACAAACCAATATATTGTGATGAAAATACCAAACAAACAAACAAACCAATATATTGTGATAGAAATATCAAACAAACAAACCAATATATTGTGATGGAAATATCAAACAATCGTACAAACATATTGTGATGGAAATATCAAACCAACATAATCTGATGGAAATATCAAACAAAGAAACCAACATATTGGGATGAAAATATCAAACAAACAAACCAACATATTGTGATGGAATTATCAAGCAAACAAACCAACATATTGTGATGGAAATATCAAACAAACAAACCAACATATTGTGATGGAAATATCAAACAAACAAACCACAATATTGTGATGGAATTATCAAGCAAACAAACCAACATATTGTGCTGGAAATATCAAACAAACAAACCAACATATTGTGATGCAAATATCAAACAAACAAACCAACATATTGTGATGGAAATATCAAACAAACAAACAAACCAACATATTGTGATGCAAATATCAAACAAACAAACCAAACATATTGTGATGGAAATATCAAGCAAACAAACCAACATAATG